CTTTTTTAATGCAGAACACATACAGACACATTAAAATTGCACACATCCATGAACCACATCCAGTACTTACTAGGTAGCTCTGGCACAGGATGAAGGTTAAGTGTCCTGCCATACTCCGTAGTGTCGTCAAGAGCAAAGATTCCCTCTGCAAAAATCTTCTGGTTTGTGCCTGAGGCAGAGCTGAACTCTCAGCTGCTCTTCTAGACAGGCAAATGTGGAAAGTTTCCATGGGAGATGGTACAAAAAGCTGCTGTTACTTAAGCCTGAGAATCAACAGGACTACATTTGACCCAGCCTTTCTTTCAGTGTTGGGTCAGGCACCAGAATTACTTATACTTTGGGCCTATGCAGACTGCCAGAAATAGTGCAAATTGAGTCCACTTTAAGGGTTAGGGTTAGTGCTAGGGAGTCATGGGAATTGTTGTTTTTTCTGAGACACTGAGCCTTCTCTGTCAGAGAGCTCTGGTGCCACAATAAAATACAGTTCCCATGATTCCCTAACCCTAACCCTAAAAGTGGACTCAATTTGCACTATTTCTGGCAGTCTGCAAAGGCCCTATGTCAGAAGCCAGGCTGAAATCAATCCAGATGGACCATGCTAACATCTGGATCTGAATCAGCAGCACCTATGCTCATTCCATGTTACTGTTGTGTCTTCAAGCCATTTCTGACTTATGGCAAATCTAACATGTTTTTTTTTTTTTGGGGGGGGCAGGTTTAATCTCAGGTTTGCCAGTGTCATCCCCTGAGGCTGAGAGAGTGTGGGTTTCCATGGCCAAGTGATTTAAACCTTGCCCTCCAGAGTCATAGTCCAGTTCTGAAACCACTGCACTGCACTGCTTCCCCAAGTTTAATAGTTACTGCTATCTGTGTGCCATTGAGATAAGCCTTTCTAAGAAAGCAAGAGCAGCCCTGTGAATCACAGAAAAGGCTTGCTTAGTCCAGCATTTGATTTTCATCAAGGTTAGCCAGTTGCTCCCAGGAAATGTATGAGTGGAGCAGGAAGATTGCACCCCCTGTTCTTTCTAACCCCAGGTTAACTAGTGTTCCAAAATACTTGCTTCTGAACATGACACTTCAGTCTCTCTCGAGTGCTAATCATGTCCTTTCATGAATGTGTTTATCCCACTTATTGGATTAGAATACTCCAGCTATAAAATTAAACCTGATTATATATGAACGCAGTTGCCTCTGTAGGTTAGTCACACAGTGCTGGTGCAAAGGTCACTGCCAAGTGGGGCTTTGGTCACGATAATGGATACTCTTTAGTTGGTGCTTTCATGGAAAATACCACATTGGCTCTTCCCTTCATGTTAACCCTCAGAGCACCTAAACAGAAGCTGCAATTATGGATACTACTGTAAACAGACCACATCAGTATCATAGCAAAGAAATAATGAATTTAAAAAAAATATTGGGAGCATGCTTTTCTGTAAGCATGTAAGCTCTGGAGAGCCAGTGGGTAGTGGTTTGACTGTGACTCAGGAAACCAGGGTTCAAATCCCTGCTGAGTGACCTTGGGCAAATCAGATTCTCAGAGAAAGGCAAAAGCAAACCCCTCTGAATAAATCATTCCAAGACAACCCCATTATAGGTTTGCCTTGACATTGCACTAAGTTGAAAACGAAGATACACAACAACAAATGTAAACTGTGTTACCTTTTTACCCTTTTCCCTCCCCTTTTAGTAGCTGGATGGCAAACCCCTGCCTTCTACCTTCAATTGTCTCCTCAGAACATCCTAAACCAACAAGCACTGAGATAATGCAGTGGGAAGCTGCTGGAAGCCAAAGTTTTATTCTAAGACCAGTTGCATGGAGGGGATGGCTGGGAATGTTTTTGTTTTTAATTGAATTTTGGGAACCATCACATGCTTTGGTGTACTGGTATCCATGGGGAGAGCTAAACTTTCTTGCACTGTGCCTGGCTAAATCATACATCTCTTAATTTGTTTTTTTCATAACTATAGTGGAGTACTGGATAAATGGAAGAAGGGAATAAAGCCATGGGAAAAGCAACTCACAGCACTATAGTTGGATTCCTCCCACCCCATGTGTCGAAATCTCTTGCTGAAGCATGTGTTAAGAACCGGTTTTAACACATAATCCAGACTTTATTCCCTTTACATTTAAAAAGGTTTTCAGAGCAGCAATTGCAGCTATAAACAAATATGGGCAAGCAACTCAGGAATTGGGCATAGCTACAAGGAAATTGGATTTTGACTTCCTGTTCTACAATAAAGCTATTAACTTGTCTCTGGTACATGTGTAATCTCAATCTGCATTCCTTTCAAGAATAAGAAGTTGAAATGCTGCCTTGAATTGCTTGCAGGAAGTACAGAAGCTTCCCACCTACACCTTTAGCTTACATTGTGATTCTTTAAAATTCAGGAGAGAAACAGTGATTTTCTCCAATTTTTCCCAAGTTAGGTATACTTTACTTATAAACCAGTATACAGAGAAGTACAATTAAACACGGAATCCTTATACGTACCTAGAATGAGTTCCAATGATTTCAGCAAAGATGCATAAATCTAAGGTGCATAGCCACAGGACACAGGAAATCTACTTCATTGTCAAATGGCTTCCTTCTGCAAGGGGGAAAGTATCTTGTGGCGATGGGAAAAAATCTTCTGTAGCCTAAAAAATCTAGATTGACTGCAGTAACCCAGAGGGTTTTCTTGACTGTCGCCCCAAGGTTATGGAATGACCTGCCAGAGATCCATCACATTGCTGCGTTAAATGCCTTTTAAAAAGCACTTAAGATGGATCTCTTCCGACAGGCCTTCCCAGAATAGCCTAGCCCCCCCCCCGCCCCCGTATTTGCTTTTTTTTCTTCCCCCAACTTCTATATTACTGTTTTCTTATTGTATTCTTTTATATTATGCTTGTAACCTGCTTTGATTCCATTTGGAAATAGGTGGGCTAGAAATTTATTATTATTATTAATGCTCCTGTTGCTTTTCCCCTTACCTTGAGATAAACCACAATAGTTCCACTTGTAAATGGAAGGGAATGTAACATGTACCTTTTCATAGGCCCTGCTAAGTGAAACCCTGCATCTAACACCTCTGTATATACACACAATCTTGGGGTTTTTACATAATTTGCTGGTTTCTGTAATTGCTACTAGGTAAGTAAAGCAACAGTAAATACTTGACAATGAACTGTGGATGACTTGCCTACTGTTAGTAGGGCCAGTTATAAACCATTTCAGTCCTGTATTTCTTTGTAAAGGGGTAGCTGCAGAAGTCGTGTCAAATGAAGTAAGATCTAAATTCACATAGTAAACTACTTAGTAATAGTTACACCAGAAAAAGTCCTGCTTTTAAAGGTGGAAATTGTTGGGTGGAAACTGTATTCCTCAGGAGCAACCTATCTAAGCAATGCAGAGGATGAGGAGAAAACTAAGTGAGATGTACTACAGTGGCAGGATCTTCACACAAAACCTGTCATGTGACACCTCAAATTGGGTAGTGAGAAACAGAGGAGAGTTGTGCATTTCTTTTCAAAATTTTACAGGCTAGATCAAGAAAGAACAATTTTATTAATCAGGAAGCAGTGCTTCTGCAAGGAG